TTGGAGGCCATCTGGAGCAGGTGCTGGCAGGGCCCCTGGGAAAGGAGAAGCAGGGCAGCTGGCTCATCAGGTGGGAGTGTCCTGGGGTCAAAGACCTCACGGCACGATGAAGTTAAGCTTTTCTGGAATTTCTGGCCCGGGAAGGATGGATGATGCTTCCTTGGCCTCTGGCTCCTCTCCTAAAGCCAGGCCCAATAGGTGCAGGACTCCTGGAAGAGGTACCAAGCTCAAGGAGACCTGGCCAGGCTGTGCCTCTGCATCCTCCGTGGGTCCCCACCACCAACAGGTCTGGGGAGTCTCAGGGGCGCTGGACCCTCCCACCTGGGAGTGTGTCTTGTACAGCGACATTCAGATCCCTCTTCTGCCCCAAGTGCTTCCTCCTACCTTCGTCTAGGACTCAGAAACCTCTTGTCGGGCCTCCTGACTCATCTGCCCCCAACCAGGAGGCAGGGAAGGCTTTTTCCCAAATACAGATGGTGAAACTGAAGGCTCCCAACAGTGATGGGATTGGCGAGGGTCCCGCTGCAATTTCCCTGCCGGCCTCCATGAGATCTGCTCACCGCCTGTTCAGTGTCCTCTCTGGGAAGTTATGCAGCTGGAAGGGGGCCCCTGGGATGAAATAATTGCAGAGAAAACAGATGGGCAGCAGAGCAATCCTCCCCTTGTCTGTGTGCCTGAGAATCCTCTGCAGGGCCAGGAGGGGGCGCTGTTACACAGGGAGCTTGTTTCCCCACTCCTGGGGAGGGGAGGTGGACGATCCTGTCTTAGCCACCCCTTCCCCAGCCTCCTAAAAGCCCTTATGCGCACCTTTCTCATCTCATCGAGGCCCACTCTTACCTCCTATAGGATCCTGGTAGTGGACTGAACCTCGACTCTGCCCCAGTAGGGCCCATCAGTGGTAGGCACAAAAGTCTTACCTTGCCCTTGTGGGGGAAGGGAAAAAGGGAAGAGGGGCCCACAAGAACAGAGTCTTTTCTCTCCATGTCCTTTGAGAGGTCCAGGAGGGAGAATCCTAGCTATGCAGCTCTCTGATGCCTGGAGTTTGGCACACCGGCCTGGCTCTGACTTCCCCTCCCACTCCCTCTCTGTGTCCCCCGAGGACTGATCACCCTCCTTCGGCCTCATCTGTCAACCTACTCCTGCAACCTACTCTTGCCTCCTCTGGGCACTCCTACCTGAAGCCTCCTCCCCCTTC